AGCGTCGTTAAATGAACCATGAAATATGCGATCGCGTCAGTCAACCAAATACAACCTTCCTGTTGAATTCAGTCGCAGTAGAGAGAGGCATGTGGACACAAAACTGGCAATTCAATGTCAATATGTCGTGTAACGTTGACAGAAAGACAGAAGGTTATGTTGACATTAGAGTAAATTTCATAGAAATTAAATTTCAGTCAGCGCCACTCGGCGGAAAAGTAGTTCACTACGTCGCAGGACTTGGCGGCCAATGACGTAAGTAAAGAGCCAATGCATTAAAAAAAAATTCAATCAGCGAAACGCCGACATTGACTGATCCTGATGTGGGTCACCAGTTACCCAAGACTTTCGCTAAAACACGTTCAGGCTTGTCTTGCTTCGTGGCTGTTCTGGATGACAAGCATGAAGGTCGACACACTGGGTGTGACCTCCACAGATGGGACACGGTGTCTTTTGCATTTCGTACACCAAGCCATTCGTATTGCACTAGGTCACATGACTCTAACCTTCCAGAATTTCACGAACCAAAATGCATCGCTACTATTATCTTGGCGTATTGAAATTGCGTTTTATCAGCACGAATGTAAGATGATAGTTGGCACCTCCCGACCAGTCAACACGACGACAATACCAGAAAGATTATCAACATTATTGTCACCACAGTAAGAACCTGAAATATCGCCCTTTCCGTAAAATTGTCTGTCTTTATCTCAGTAGCTTGCTGTTTATCAGCATTTTTTTTTGAAAGTATTTAAATTTAAAAATTGCGTATTTGTCAAAATACAAAGAAAGTGGCACTTACGCCCTTATTCCTATTGCCAATAAAAAGTAAATGTGCTGCAGAATCAGTATTATAGGTGATGCAACTAGCAGGGAAGTCAAAAAGACAGGAAAGGTGAAATCCATGCAGAAATACGCATTTTTCCGCAAGCATTCTTTGCGAATCTTGAATTCTGAAAGCTTACTTGAAATGAAAAATACCATTTCATACATTCAAGCTTTGCGAGAGAGGACATATAGAAACATAAATGCATCTCTTCAACGTTAGATTTATTCTTTGACTATTAACTACTTATCATCTTACTGATCAAAACACATGTTTTAAACTTTTTTAACTTATCTACTGATTAGCCTATCGGAAAATTATTGTTGAGTGAACAGCATAGATTCAGTAAACCTTTATTTCTTATTACGATCAATAATTTACCAATAAATGCAGGGTATAGCTAGGAAGACAGCATGTTCCTCCGAAACGTTGGCGTCTACTTACAAATCCACACGGCGTTACGACCAGCTTTGACATCCTCACCGCCGTGAGGACTTCAAATCATCATCTTTATTTTTCCAGGACTTGAGAGAAGACACAGACCCGTTTTGGAAACGATATTTCCTGAGCTCAAGCAACATTCCACCTGACATAAAGCAAGAAGCTGAAACAGCGTATTGTTGATATTTATCGACTTAGTGTTTTGTTTACAGTGTGCAAGACATGTTTGCTTTAACTGCAAAGCAGTGGACACAGAACTGATTTCATATGAGAACACACGTTCAGAAAACTCGGTGGTGAACTTGTTGTTCCTAAGTTTGCCATAGTATTAATCAAAGAGGACGGTGGATGATAATTACGCCACAGTGGAATCAACTGATTGCCGAGTGGTGAGACCTAAACCTGTCAGCCTCAGTCAGGCTTATGAGTGTCCCAAATTTCACTCTTGCGGCAAGTGGCGCTGGGCTTACAAAAATGAAGTCTTAATTGAATTTAAAACACGTGAAATTTATAACCATAAAATGGGAGTTTCTAATAACATAATCGGTTGCACATTATTTTTTATAAGAACAAATTTCGTCTAGAATTAATCTCGCAACTTCGCAGTCTTACAGGTCTGTCTCACCCTGCACAAGACGTGACTCATTAGCTGTAATGTTTGATTCGAACTTTACCAGCAAGTAGGTATTTCTGGAGCGCCAGTATTTTTCTACATTGAGTTCTCTGAGATCGTTTGTTTCTCCCGAATCTCATCATCCCACTTAAAGGAAGTCAATGCTGACATTGTACGAAAGAGATCCAAAATCTGTGCCTCAAGCTGTCCTTAACGCTCAATTTTTACGAAGACTTGGTGAAAATTTGGACTCCACGCTGTGGTTATGGGCTTCTTCAGCTCGAGAATGCTTCAGATCATGTTGAATTGTCTACGTTATTTTTGAAACCACCGCAGTGCAGCCCCGAAGTACCAGTTCTCCGTGCTTAATATCCAGTACAGTTTCTGAGACGGAGAGGTTTTAGCGAAATGACGACTTCAAAATCAGAACTAGTTTAAGCTACCCTAAAACCAAATCAGTTTATAATATATACATATATATATGTAGGCCTATTGATACCAATGATACTGTCTTCCGAAGTGTTCTGCCGTGTAGTCTGGTACGTAGTTACCGACGTTTCAGAGGAGCTTACAACATCTAGAGCCGGCACCAGTCTACACCACGCGACAACCCCCCCTCATAAAACCCCATCCCTCTTCATACTCGTCCCCGTGAGAATCTGAAATCTCACATTGACAATGCTGTTTTCTGTTTGTAATTATCTGAACTAATTACTGCATTATCGTAATGATATGCTGAAATATATGACTTTGTAAATGATACCGTTGTCACCAGAGTTAAGCACGTAATTCGAACACTGTTGTATTTGAAAATATAGACACTTGGTATTTAAGGTTACAGAAAATACCACCGAATCCGTATTTGGAAATTTTATTTAAAAGTTTCTTATACCGTAACAGTATTTACACGTCCAGAATTAAGAAATTTAAGTAAAATTTAATAAAATAATCTACATAATAAATCAAAATTAACCGCTCAGATTCCAGCATTTATTATTTGTTTTGGAAAATAAAAGCCTAGAAATGGGAAATGAGCGGTCAGTTTCGCATTTAGTTAAGTGGTTCAAAATAAAAAAAATCCTGCATCTGGAGTGGCCTAATTTTTAAACGCTTCTCAAAGTTTGATAAGCAATTTATTTTATTAATTATTGACTCGATGACAGGTATATAAAACAGGTAGACATAATGTTTAAAAACCGTCCCCACAAATATTTATTAAAAATTTTAAAACTGTTATTAATATCAACATTCAAAATAGACCTCTGACGTTAAATATTTAATCCTCTCTAAATTTCAGTTTCTTAAACCGGAACTTTAGTCTACTTCTACATAGATTTACAATTACATTTTATTTATTACTGGCTAAAAATGTGAAATCAAGAACACAGTATTATACTGTAATGGTGGGTTGCAAGTAAATGCATAAATCATTTTGCTTCAAAATCTTTAAAATTTGGAAGTGTCTCAATTCTCAGAATTAGATAACAGATTACGTCAAAACCATATGCTGCACTTCACATTTGTCCTAGCAACTTCAGTGCAAAGTGAAATGTCACATTTGTAAATTCATATGTGGAAACAAGCATTATATTTGTGAGCAGGTATAATTTACTTTAGACCTAATCATCCGTTAACGTACATTCCAATGTTTTTTACTCCATCGTTGACCATTGAATATGCCTTATTTAGCAACAGCTTGGATGTATTTATTGAATTCATAACATCACGAGTGTGCATTTATATTCATGGTTCAAGAAACATGAGAGAAAATTTGTGTTCCAAAATAAGTTGTAAAATAACTTGTGTGTTATTTTAAAATAAAGTGATATTATATAATTGTCACCCTTCCTTGCTAATCACGATCAGATAATAGAATCGCGTGAAATCTTCCTCTATCTTAGAAAAGCTGTTCAACATTTCTTTTGATAACGATGTGTTTTTGTGATACGTGGTTCTAGTCACCAGCGCAGCAAATTTTTTGGGCTCTGGGAGCAGCCTAAATGTTTGTGGTTCCCTGCACGGTTACACCTCCAACTCCATGCATCCTGTCACAGACACGAACGTACTTATACATTCACGTTGAATTCTGTGTGTTAGATAACCATTAAAACACTCGTGTTAGTTGTTAGGACTAACTTTCAGGCGCCGACTCGTCCGTCTGTCCGTCAGTCAGTCCCGCTACCTGCTGTAAGATCTGTGAAGCACGTGAGTTTTGCTGGCAACATAACCATAATCATCGACCCTTTTATATATCTATCAACTGACTACGTTACCACCAGTGATCTTTCAGGTTGCCTCATTGGCCAGAGATTCTAATATCCGTAACAGAAAAATATCACACCAACTTAATGCTATGGGTTAATCATCGTCTTATTAAGCTCTCTACAGACATGAGCTACTAACATTTCTGTAAACAATACGAATTAATTCGAATCAACGCTATAAGGATGAATGAGGCAATATATTTTTTATGTTCAGACGTTTTGTTTATAATTTTTTAATCACTACAGTACCTAGGGTATATATGTGTATGTTTACATATAGCTCGTGTTCTTGCGTGTGCAGGAACTTGTTATTTATTTTAGGAACCAGATGGGGTGACAGATGTTTGCGAACAGAACGCGGAAATGAGACAAGTTGTCAGTTTCATCACGGTTACAATTATGACCAGACCAGTTTTCAGTATCCTTGAAAATAAAACTTTGCGCAATTGACAATGATTTTGTCAGTCACATACCTTGCCCACTTGGATGTACAGGCAGGCAAATACGGGCCTACATTACAGACAGAAATAAACAACAAAATATTAATTCTGATTTTGTTGTTGACCATTGGAATATGCCAATGTTTCGGAGAAAGATACTGTCTCCTTCTTCAGGGCTGAAGTCAATTTATCCCTGAAGACAGAAACGAGTTTACACGGCGCCAAAAACCACAAGAACGTCATCATCTTGGCCGCCGTGTGAACGTCAAACCTCACATGTTAATTCTGATTCGCACAGACATCGCTTTATTGGGGTCCTGGGCCAATGATAAATTTTAACACGGGACAGTGTATCTCTATGTTCGGAACCAACTGTAGGAAGCGATTCTGTTGTTTGGTCCAGACGTGCCACTGACCTACTTTAGAGCAGGCTACCAGAAGCAATACAACGAACACACAAACTGACAAGCACTGTAGAAAGTGAATTAAAAATGTGATCCGATTATCAACCTGCTTCATAAGGTTCAAATATCAAATAACTTTAAGAAGCGTAAGTTAGTGGTAAGTCGTATGTCGTCACGAACACCGAGGTATACTGCGTTCAAGCGTTTTTGGCCGTTGAACTTTGTGAATGGAACCTCGGAGCGAGTCACTTACCAGAAGATTCCTGGAAGGGATGGCAGCAGGCCGCGTACAGTACACTCCAAATAAAATATCACCACGGTATGTAACAGGAAAGTCGATTTCATTACACTACGCATCACTAGAAAATTAACACTGCAGAGAGTTTTAGATAATTTTATCTTCTTCACAACTCTTCGGTCCTCATTCAATTTTTCCACTCACAGACCATCGCTTTCTGACATATCACTCGATTCATAACCACCGCTGCTACTGCCCAATCCATTATCTTTAATTATATATATTAGTGACAAAGATTGAATAGGCGTGACCTCCTTTGAAAGCGTGACGATAGGACAACTTAAGAGTTTAAAAATCACCAAGATATTAAAAGCGTGACCAAGCGTAACAAAGCGTGACTATGAGTGACGTACAGTAACGGCGTGACGAGATGTGGCCATAAGTGCTGAAACGTGTGGAATATTTTCAAAACGTTACCTAATCTAACAAACTAACCTAACCTAACAAAACCAATCCTAAACTAACCTAACCCGACCTAACCGGACCTAACCTAACCTAACCCAACCTAAAAAATTGACGTATACGAGGACTCATTTTGACATGAATATGGTCAACCAGGTATTCACGGTTTGGCAGAAATAAGCGTGAGAAAATATGACCTTGAAAAATTTAAAGACCCGTATCTGGAAAACTAGTGGGCCGATTCTGTTGTGACTTCCATACGACATTGACATATACGAGGATTCATTTTGACATGAGAATGGTCAACCAGGTATTTACGGTTTGGCAGAAATAAGC